CGGCGCCGTCACCACGGCCGTCATCTGCACATATGGTGATACTACACACACCCTCATCAACCGCCGAGGCTACACTGGGCCCTTCCTCCCCGGATTCCGCGCTGGTAAAAAGCGCACTTCCTCCACGATGTTTTAAATTCATATATACTGACTTCATTCAAATACAGCTCCCGAATGCCAGCCCAAGGCCGGTAAGCGACGCCGCGCCTGCAAGGACTGCAGCTGCGGTCTCGCCGAGCGCCTCGCCGCCGAAGACGAGGCCAAGCGTGCCGCTGCCGACGAGAAGCTTAAGAGCGTCAAGCTCGCCGCCGACGACCTCGCCGAGATCGACTTCACCGTCCAGGGCAAGGTTGGATCCTGTGGTAATTGCGCTCTGGGCGATGCTTTCCGCTGCGACGGCTGCCCATATGTCGGACTACCGCCGTTCAAGCCTGGTGAAGAAGTCAGGCTGCTGAACAATGAGATTCAGCTGTGAAGCTAGTTCACAAGCTACGTTATGACTGGGTTTCTGTTATCATGATTATGGGCGCATTACTGTTATTGTCATTGCACGAATTGCATCACGGAGTCGGGGAGCTTTTTAAGACATCCACCGTTATTTGGCTGGATACGGGTTAACAATATTTGGAGGGGATAATGAAATCTAAAGGGTCATTGAAAATAGCGGGCTAGAAGACCCTTTCTGGTCCCCTCTGCACGGCGTTTTTTGGGTGCGGACACTTTCACGATGTGCTACTTTAGAGAATCAGAATATACATCTATTTTTGCTTAAACCAGAATTAAGAACGCCATGTGATAGTATGAATGTGAATAAATGACAATGACGCCCGATGTTAAGCCAAGGCCTCTCAATTCCGCCACTAATACCTGGCTAGCAGCTATAAAGAATTCGAGCATGTTTCGTGTTTGAGTTGTAATGTTGCCGTTTTGTATGCAAAATTATGATACCGCCCATCCTTGCAACGCCTCTAATTCGATCCTTCTTGATGCCCGGTCTTCTTCTTCTCATGGCCTGCCCCTGCCGGTTCGTCATCGCTATCGTCGTCTCCTCCCACAGTGTACTTGCTCTCCGAGGCCGTCGGTGTCTCCACATGCAAGTCATCCAGAGTGGTTTCGTCGAAATCCGCCGCTTCGACATCGCGCCGTCTGCGAGAAGAAAAGTTCAGACGAGAGCCGTTCCTGCTTGAAGGCTCGCTGCCGCTGAGTGCTCTGTAGGTAGCACGCGCTTTGCGCTGGCGCCAGATAAAGTAACCCCAGGCCACGGCAGCAACGATGACGATGGCCAAGACAACTTCACCTGATCTTTGGTAAGCGGCCCATTTGGCTGCATCAACCTTCTTATGCGTCTCTTCTTCCTTGGCCTGGGTGTTGTTTGATGCTCCGCCGACCGTCGTCTCGACGCCCTTTTCACCATCGATGCGGCTGTCAGTAGGCACGCCGCCAATGCTGCTAATGTCGACTCCCATAAACCTGTCCAACATGTCCCGTGTGCGGCGAGGATAGTCAAATGGCACCATGTGAGATGAGTTGTAGAATAAAACGTAAGTCAAGTTGCGGGCCTCTTGCCAGAAGCCAGCAACCTCACCCTCGAAAGTCCAGTTTCGACGAGGGGCCCAGTTTCCTGGAGCTAGCTCAAAGCCTTTGCCTCCGTTCCATTCCAAGTTATTGATCATATACTCAGTACCGACGTGGTTGCATATAAGATCTTCTGCTCCGGAAAACAACAGAATGGGGACTTCTTTAAGAAGGTCGGGGAGGAGATCGACTGAAGGGACAGAGGTTTTGGCCTTGAAATTCGAGCCCACTGCTCCATTGCACTCTTGCCAGCCAGCTGACTTGGCGCTATTGATGTGAAGCGCTTGTATAACGTCGGATCTCCTCAGATATGGAGTGATATTGGTCAAATCCGGGGGCCAGTTCATTCCACAGGCGGGATATGTGTCTCTGAGACGGACATCGTACATGTTCCAACAGGCATCTGGCCCATTGCCATTCTTGGTCATGGAGAGAATTGAGCTGAGGATACCCTCGCAGTCGGGGTAGTCAACGTGGCCCGGGTCGCTGCCCATCTTGTTCTGGCAAATTCGAAGGGAAGACTGCAGCTTCTTGGTGACATCCGAGTCTTTCGTTAGGAGCCCCTTCTCGTAGAGGAATGGAAGGTAGCTGTCGTACTGATCTCTCGGCGACATCCATCCATTTCCGATCAACAGTCCCTTCAGGCTCCAAGCTTCCCTCTCTTTCTTCTCCTCAATCTTCTGCTTGTTGCGAGCCACTATCGCTTTGGCAATGTAAGGGATGTACTGTCCAGCGTAGGACTCGCCCGCAAAGTAAAGCTGATGAAAAGTTAACCCCCAAAATCTTGTTTGCTAAGCCGGAATACTCACATCGTCATGCTCATACTCAGGAAACAGGTCAAAGAACTTCTCCAAAAAGATGACGAATTGGTCTGCCATTTCATCAAGTTCATGGGTATAACTGTCTGTGTCGACATAGCTGAAGCCAACGCCAACCGGGTTGTCGACGAAAAGGAGGTTCGCGAATTCGTGCCATGATCCATTGTTCGGGACTAAAGTGTGGTCGTCCTTGAGCCTGTATGGCCCGATCTCCATCAACGAGCCATCCTCAGAGCTGCACCCTGGCCCGCCGTTCAGCCATACTACAGTTCGTTGACGGTTCGCAATATGCTGGTTCTGAAAATGCCAGAAGAATAAGTTTCCGTTATGTTCGGGGGTGACTTCGATGTGGCTATAGCACAGGGGAAGATACGCGCGTCAGCTATTGAGAGTCTGGAGAAGTCATCCTCCGCCGGCGCTCACGGTAGGCTTACCCAGCATGCATTTTCACGGCCGTTGGGTCTTGCGCCAGCCCCGGAAGGCCGCGAACATAAAAGTCGGCTGCATTTTTCGATTGCTCAGCAGCGGAGAGGGCCGGCCACAAAGTCGCCAAAGTCATGGCCAGCCATCGCCAGGAAGCTGGCCGCGCGGACGGCACCATGGTGAGCGGTGGTGGCGGAGGAGGCAGCAAAAACGAAAAGGGGAGTAAAAAGGTAGCACAGCTACCTCCGGTTTGATGGATTCAATATGTCATTGACAGAGAGGAAGATGTAGCGATTCAAATATGTAACCGCAACGTGATGGTGGAGGTTGCAAGTCGCAAGGTGGCCGAAATTGTTAAGCCTATTCCGCTTTCCCCTTGAGGCATGGATGGCATTTGGTACAGCGGATGCGCGGCACCAAACGCCGGGCATTGGTCCCCTAAAACACGCGGATGGAGTCGCTGTAGCTGCAAGCGATATAGCGTTCGGCCCCACTCGGCAAGCTTCCTGCTATTGTCAGTCCAAAGAGGAAAGGCAGCGAATGGGGTCAATAAGAAGCTCATGAGTTTGCTCTGCAGAGAGTAACTTTGAATAGCTTAAAAGTTAAGACTAGTTGGAAAGATTTGAGATAAGTTGTCTGGCTTTAATTATAGTGTACAGTAACTGTACTCGCGCCTGTATCTCAGCGTGAGATGTTGACAGAAATTGGCCTATTCGAGATGCCAACCGAAATTACGCCTGCGCTTCAAGGACTTGCCGCTATGGCTTAGAAGCCCTGCCGCCTGCTTAGCATCGATGTCTTTGTTAGCGCATCTAACGTTTGGCTACGTCAACAGCGAGCATTTACGGCTTCAATTTAGCCTCGAATTTTTCATACACCTGGCGAGGACCTCTCCACCATAGCAAATTTCAATCCGAAGCCTCTGACCCTAGCCTCTCCTGCAGCTAGAGGGCCACTGAATCAATCTCTGTATTTTACTCAAAATTTCGCCGCACACTGACAAGTCGACCATTAGCGCACAATATGGCTTCAGCTGGAAAAACTTTCATCGTCGAGCATCTGGACCCGGAGCTCGGCCCATGGTCGGAACTGGAGTATCTGGCCATTGCAGCGGAGAGCGAGGAGACAAACACCAAATTCATCCTGTCTTGCCTGCCTCCCAACTTCCAAGTCCCGGCTGCCTTGTCCGCCAACAAGGCCTTCACAGCTGAACATCGCGGGGTAGAAGAGCTCTATGCAGGCCAGAAGTCGCGGGTTTGTCTTCTAGATCCCGCCGCAGCCAAGGACTTGGCGCCCGAAGATGGCGAGACATTTGATGCGTTTCTCTTTGGTGGCATCTTGGGTAAGCGGGCAGCATGGCTACATAGCACTTGAATCAGTGACAACTAAGCTAATATGATAACTCATAGGTGATGACCCTCCACGAGGTGAGCATTGATGACTTTGTTCTCTTGATAGCGGTTTGTGTCTGATAAACTTTAGATCGAACCTCTGAGTTGAGAAAGAAGGGTTTCGAGGGAAGGCGGCTAGGCCCTAAGCAAATGACTACAGACACAGCTGTGCGAGTTACGCGAATGGTTGTGCACGACAAGAGTAGGTCTTTGGCTGTATAGCCAAGGTTGCAAGGGTGATTTGATATTGACATTAATAGTTCCTCTTGATCAAATGCCTTATTTGGATTTCCCAGAGCTCAAATTCAGCGAGCATGAAAGCACGGAGATGCCTTTCCGTTATGTCAAGGGCGCAGATGGAAAGCCAATTATGCCAAAGGTGAGATTACTGGGTTGTCAAGTTGGTTGATTCATGTCAGCTTACCAGATATTATAGGGAATGGTTGAGTTGATACAGAAAGACGCTGATAAATCTGTGGACGATCTGTTCTAAATATACTACCTTGTCTGTAGCATTCAATGTGGCCACGCAAGCTTGCTAGGTAGTATTAGACCGGTAGGCTGCTGTCATGGACAATGGCAAGCTATGCAAGACGCCATATAATGCTATGAGCGAAGATTGTTAAATTTACCATACTTGTGAAACGGTTGCACAACGCTGCTACGCCCGACAGTGCCAGATTGGAAACTATATTGCTGAGTATAGCTTTCGTCATCAATAAAGGTAGGTTGAGAGACCGATGGCTTGTAATATCCAAAAGCTGGTTCCCTATCAGTAATCATGAACACACAAGAAACATACTGCAGCAACATCCATGCGGGCTTATGGTAAGCCACTTCGTCCCCTTTCAAGATCAACCACAGAGAATAGGTGGCATCTGCCTGGGCGTGCATGAATTATGCAGCTTCCGTTGTCTGGGCAGTCCAATGCGACCTCAGTCTTGTTTTCAGCAAGGCTGCCAATGAGCAGTGAGCCGCATACACTGACCGACTGTGAGGCTCATACTGGGCGCTGTCGCTGTACTACACGGCTCGGACTTTGGGATGCCCTCAGCCGCAGTAACCTACCACGGACTGTAAGCATCCGAACGTGCAAAAATTCTCCGACGCATGTTTGCTTCGTCCGATTCGACGGATGAATCGAGCCGAAATATCACAACTCAGCCTCGCTCGATTGTGGAAATGAGATAGACTCCAGCTCCGTAAGCGAAAAATCTTGAGATGGGAGCACAGGGGTAACCGGCATCTCATGAATCTGTTGACAAGTTTACATCTTGTGATGGGATCCAAGTAGAGATGAGTTTGACGCGGGCCAGGCACACGAAGATTAAAGTGGTGACAGCACGGAATTCACGGATGTAGCATTGTGATATCGGGTTGCAGCAGCTTGACTTGTTTAGCCGGCCATCATGGCCACGGAAGCTATGTAAGTATTCTTTCACAGTCCTGAAGCTCAAACGGTGCAGCGATCAGATTGCATGATAGAGCAGGTAGGATAGACTGAAATTTGCGCTCAGCAATGATGACAGCATGAAGCCGCCGCCAATCGTGTAGAGGCGTTTTTTGCCAAGACTCGTCTGAGGGCTGCCGCTATATCATGCTGGTAGCTGAGCTGGAAACGGATGGATATAAATTGGGGTAAAATGTACACTTCCGCGGTATCATTTTCACATACATCTAGTGGCGTAATACTAGTATCAAGTCTGTTTCACATATAGTCAATCCAAAGGAAGCCACCGATGTTTTGAGCATGTCGACATCGGCTAAACAAGAGCATGATTCAAGGAAAGTAGTAGTAGCATCATATCAACGCTGCAGACGCAGAGTATGAAAGTGTGCATCAATAAGGGAAAGAAAAAAAAAGAATAGGTACTTTTCTCGCAACGTAGCTCGCAAAGCCGTGTAGCTGTTTGTAAATGACCCTTGCTTGCGGAAAGGTAGTATATGGTCCAGAGTTTACGTGTAAATCCCTCTATGAGGTAGATGGGACATATCCTTGACAATTAGGTCGACAGTATCCCAGTACTATCCCTCAGCTGGGTAGAGACTTTTATCGAGTCCACTGCGGCAGCTAAAGGTGTGCTAGCAAGGTATCGGGATTCGCTAATAGATCGGCTGCCAAACGCTTGGGACCTATAAATTAAAGAATCCGTATCCGGAATCTAAGCGCCTTGACGAGAAGCCGGAGCTTGGCCATCGCGGCTGGATGAAGCAGGGGCGGCTGCGGCTGAGAGAACGGCGAACCTCCAGTCTGCTTCGTACCTGTGGCGTGGAACATGGGCCGATGACGACCATGGCAGACATGTTGCCGTTGGCTACCTTACATGAATGCAATATGACGTGGCATATGCCCCAAGCCATACTGACTGGCATGCGATCTAAAATAGACTGACGTTTATTCTTTCTTTGTTCTTCGCGGTGCTCGAGACATCCCAGCGAGGCTGCTGAGACTCTTGATCGAGTGGAAAGGCCCAGGCTCTCGAGAAGTCGCTCCACTGGACAAGTCAGCCATGGCAAGGGTCGTGCACCATAGACGGTCCTTGCTGCCACGTTTTCTAGACTTGAGAGTCTACTCGATGGTCTCTTGGGAAGGCCATATCCGCGGTGGATATTGAGGCCTTTCTCTCGAAAATACGACACGACAACGCAACGCCACGGGCACAGTGCATGGCATGGCATGGCTGCCGCTGAAGCCATCGGCTAGAGATATGTCAAGGCCAGGATCAGGCCCCCAGCTAGCGTGGGGTCGGCTGGGCTTCTACAGAAGATCGATATGCTTTGGAATCTAATTTGGAATGCAAAATCGGCCGTTGGGTTGGTTCGACGACAGGTTCGAGATGGGTTGGTTTGGGGGCCGTCGTCTCCAATTTTAGCGCCCATCTCGACTCTGCCAGCCAGACACACAGCATGGCCTGGAGGTGTGCTGGGGACTTGACAAATCGTTTCTCGTGATGCCGGCCAGCTCTTGATAGGTGGCAGCCGGGGATTGACAGCAACGGGACAGCACCATCCGCAAGTCCACAGAAGGATCGCCAGAAGCTGTGGGCTTACATCGTGCGTGCTCCTCATTTGCCCGTGGCACGCCCTCTCGTGGCCGGACGAGAAGCAGGAACACGAACCCTGCCCGATGAAGCCTGATGAGTTGATTTGCCCTGCCATCGGATGCCTTCCACAGTATTCGGCATACCGTCTGTCGTCGCTGCAAGGTGCATGCTGCGCGGCAAGTAGCGCTCTCACGGAGCTGGAGGCATTATTCTCAACGCCAGGTTGAGTTATGCGCAGTGATCTCGTGCCACGGCTGCAACATTGCACAATGGGTAGCAAGCAGCGCTGGAATGTCTCAACCGAGCCCTAAACTTCCAGTTGACGCAGCTGCACGGGTTGCTTCATGTTGTTCGTAGCATTGATGTGGAAGAGGCCTCAGTCTGGGTACCAGGAACTACAAGCGGTCAGCGCCCTGCCTATTCGTGGGCTCGGCTGATGTGATGGGACATGAGAAAGAGGTCTGGCGCATACAGGCAGGTACCACCCGCTGTACCTGAGGGTGCTGGTACCTTCATGTTCTCTCAGGAAGCAGAACAGCCTCGCAACTCACCTCGGGCATGTAGAGGCATCCAACGCTCTCGCTTCGGCCGTGATGCTGCTCGTTCTTCTTGCTGTTGGCACTGCCACCAGTTCTTCCTCAGTGCCCTCGCCGCGCCGCCTGTGCAGGAACAAAGAATGGCGCACGCTGTGTAGCGTCAAGGTTAATCTGCATGCCCTCGCTCCAGGCGCACGGCTGAAACAGACGGCTGCACCCCGGCTCTCGTCGATGCGACGCTGTTGTTTTCTCATCCATCTTTCATACTTGCGAATTACGGCTCTTGGCACTGCCCTCCTTCAACGGCTCAACTTCTGCTCGGAGACTGGCCACTGCGACCCCACCGCGCCTTGTCCAGCGCTGCGCCTGTATCATCACCAGATGCGATACAGCGATGAAACATGCGACGCATGTCAGAGCCCGATCGCTGAGCACCTTTGCTCTTTTCTCCGGACCGTGACATGGATGGCCTGAGTATCGACGGCAGCCCGCGGGCACCTGTTGCTGGACGAGCTTTGGCCGTCTACCTGCAGCTGCTCCTCCGCCTCTCCCCTTTGGCATGCGTCCTGCTACATGGCGGAAAGCTTGGCTTGGGAGGATCATCGCGAGCTGCCAACCGAGAATCGTCAAGCCGTGGCGAATAGGACCGACACTCCACGCGTTGGCACCTCACCTCGGCGCAGAAGCCCATCTCCCGCAGCTGCAAGGCTCGCCCCTACAGGACCTTTGCTGTTGCGCAGGCCCGCACAGGGCAAGCCTTGAGGGTGTTAGTTTCTGCCATAATTCCTCCCGCAGGACTTCCCCTTCCTGGCTTAATGGCGACGCTTGTCAGACATACCTGCTTGCCTCACTGGCACATAGCCACATGGCACTCATTAGCGTGATGCTACGCTGGATAGAGATCCCCTGTCGCTATGACATGTCGCCTGCTTAGAAGCGCCACACACATCCCGGAGCTGTACTTGCAAGTAAGTATACATGTACTGGCACTGCTTCAAGGGATTCCATTTAACCAACCACGGAAGGCATTTTAGGAACCATCGAGGACGAAAGCACTAGGCTGTTTCGCGCATTATCGCAGCAAGGTTGGTCCAAGTCACGGCCTTTCCCCGAAGCTGAGCACAGGCGTTGGGCTCCGGACACTTGCGTTTCGTCATATCGGACCTAACCATCATGCTGCTCACGCAAATTTTCTTTGACGACGATCGACGCCTTGGTCTCATGAGTAGCAAGGCTCAGAGGAGGAGGGCCATGGAATCCATTTTTGGAGTCATTCTGCTTTTATCCAGCTTCTGGGTAGCATGGGCTCGGCCATGCAGCATCAACTCTTTACCTGCCGATTGGACGATTCAAGACGAGCGTGGTTTCAAGTTGTGGACGATATAACAGCTCCCAGGCCATGTTCACACCCATCTCGTGCCCCCCCCCGAACAAAGGAAGATGGAAAGGAACAGGGCCTAGTCGCCTTGAAGGGTTTCACGCCCTGTTGGAGCTACCGAGCCAACAGACCCACGGATTGCTGCACCTTGGGTACAGCTCGGGACCGAGCTGATGCTACTGACCTGCAAGTAACCAAGCCGACTACGCGACTAGCCATTCCTTTAACCCGCCCCCGCTCTGGCGGTAACTAGATTTAGTGTGTACAAGGATTTTGGGGACTGTGGTTTGCGATATGGATGCAAGGAAAGGGCGGCTCAGAGGCAATTCAAAGGTATTCCTTTCCGGCTTGTCAAGGCATCTCGTCACTTATCCACCAGAGCTGGATTGTCTGTGGGCTCCCAAATCTCCTCTACTGACCAGCTACCTAAGCTCATCATCAACCGCGCGGATAATGGGCGTTATTGCCACATGAATCGTGGGCTAGTAACGTGAATTTCGTCTTTCTAAACCTGTGAGTGTATGCCGGGCCTCTT